TGGGTTTCTCAGTCAGTTATGCCTCTGACTCTTGCTTTTGGTTCATGTCATGATCTCACATTTCATGAGATCAAGCCCCACGTCAGGCTCTGTGCTGAGCATGGAGCCTGCTTCAGATTCCCTCTTCCCATCTACCCATCTCCATTCATGCACGCTCACCTGTTGGTCTCTCTTTCTCTCGCTCTCTCTCTTTCTTAAATAAAGAAACATATATTGTTTTGAAAGTTCTCTTTTCAATAATGAAAAACTTCACAGTAGGTTTAGAACCCAGAATCTATGTTCTATGAATAATTGATCCGTGACAAGCTAGAATACTGTTGTTTGGTAATATTCCTTTCAGGGTACCTTCTGTAAAATTTCTTTATGCTAGTTGGTAGAAGAAATCCTAAGGTTAATAATTCATTCAGAGCCTTTTCTTTTCGTGACAGTGCTGCCCCTGCTAATTCCATAGCTTCCAAGGTTTCACAAAAAAAGGTCTTTAAATATCTATGTGCATGTGCATGCACGTGTGTGTGTGCACGTGCATGCATGTGTGTGTATACATGCCAAAGATACACATTTTGGGGTGGCAAATTTTTCTTTTTTAAAATATTTAAAAAAAATTTTTAAGTGTATATATTTATTTTGAGAGAGAAAGAAACCATGTGTGGGAGGGGCAGAGAGAGAGAGAGAGAGAGAGAGAATCCCAAGCAGGCTCCACACGGTTGGCACACAGTCTGACATGGGGCTCAAGCTCACAAACTGTGAGATCATGACCTGAGCCAAAATTGAAAGTCAGATGCTTAACCGACTAAGCCACCCTCAACCCCCTGAACAGCAAATTTTTCTTGCTTACATTGTGTACACAGCATGGTATTTATCCTAATAGTAAAATACAGATTTGATGGATTGAAACTGTCAATAGATCTCCTGCAAATGAATAACAGCAACAACAACAACAACAAAAAAAAAATAGTAAAAAAAAAAACACAACAGAAAAAGGCACAGGAGCATTCAGTATAGGCAATTGCATATTAACACATGTAAGAGAACGTGACTTGTGTCACACTCAGGGGATAATTGGAAGCCAAACTTTGGTGATGACTCAGGAGGGGAACCTGGGCTGTAGTGACCAGATGGTCCAGTGACAAGCGACGGTCAGCAAGAACCATTTTGGAAATACAGACCTTCTCAATGGGCAAATCTTTTTGATGTTCCTGGAGGTCAGTTGCAAGTTCTGTGGCCAAACCACAAGGAGTTAAAAGTGGGACAGAGCTGATGAACCATAAGCCTAGCTGATTAAACACTCAACTCGAACTCTGCCAACCTAGCCTGGTTAGGTTTCATAGCTGATATGTGGACAGTGGCTAATAGAGATGCGAAGCAATAGTGATAATTGTAGCTAATGTGGAGTTAATATTCATTTATGTACCATATACTACTTTAAGCCCTTTTCCCACATTAATTTATCTAATCTTCACAACAGCTGTCTGAGGTAGAGAACATTATTCTCCTCAACTTATACATGAGAAAAATGAGTCACAGAAATATTGAAAGAATTAAAAAAATGCCTGGTCTCTTGTAGCTAGTAAGTCAGGGAGCCAGGAAGCAAACTGCTACCCCTAACGCTGAAATGCACCCAAACTAAGTGTTAAAGCAGAAACATGAATGACCTCAAGAGAAGTCACTATCATATTCTACACTATTAGAACCAGTTTATTATGTACTTTAAAAGATTCCATTTTAGGAGAAAATAAAGAGAATCCTGCTTCAGATGGTAGAAAGTATGACTCATCAAAGTTAATATCCCAAGAAACATAAAAGGTAGAATCTACAATTTGTTACAGCAGGAAATTTAAGGTATTTCTTGATTTATTTGCCTTTTGTGAGAAATTTGTACTATTGCCAGTGATAAACTCATGTGTCAGCATGACCACCCCATTTGAATGGATGAATGTACCTTGAAATTTTAAAATGGCAAAAGAAAAAAATACCCTATCATGAGGAATGACTATACATACATATGTGTTTTTGAGTGTCACAGGAAATTTTCTTTAGCACAGAGTTTTAGGGTCTTTTATTGCATTTACTGTTCCAGTTCTTCATCTAGAGAAAGAATTTCGAATACTTCAGTGTGACGGCAGCAACTGTCTGCGAATATTTCATGACCCAATCTTTCCTTTGTGTGATTTTTGTGGCTTCGTCAAAGCCACCGATGTAGGAAGCTCCTAAAAAGCAGAGTTGGGAACCACTTGTGCGTGGCGAGGAATGATATTGGTTGAATTGTGTGCCAGGATGAGTTACATATTACATGCTTCCTGGATAAGACAAGCAAGACCTTTTGTTTTTCATTTCACCTGGCCAATTGTGACTTTCTGTCTACTTGAGTCATTTTCTTCAACATTGATTAATAGAATGCTGCTGCTAATAAACTAAAAGGAGTGAGTAAACACTACTACCACTGACAGCCAAATGATTTTCAAATATTTGTTTGTAGATACCCACTCATTTGTTTTTCCATTATTGACTTTGAAGACAATGGAAGTCTCATGAATTCCTTATTTTTTTCCCCTGATTCATCCAGATTAATAAATGCAAGCAACCTAGCTTTTCTAAATGGGGAGGAATGGATGTTGGGAAAAGTGGTATCAGTTATCTATTAAGATTATAATGACACATATCGACTGCAAAATTTTAGTGACATGAAACAATAAAGATTTATTTAGCTTACATATTTGTGGGATGGTCTTTACTGACCTCACCTGGGTTTTTACGTTTTCCTGTGATCTGTGAATGTCTCCTGATTTTAGATGAGCTCATTCACATGTCCGGGTGGTGGTCATTAGATGATCTACTTTGGCCTTGGCTCTGATGGTAGGGATGACTCTATGGTAGTACCTCATCCTTCAGAAAGCCAGGCTGAACACATTCATGTAGCTATGCAGAAAAGAAAAAGAGGCAAACCTCAATGCATAAAAATATTTCAATCCTCTGCTTGTGTCTCATTTGCTAACATTACTTTGTCTAGAGCAATTCACATGGGGTCAGACCAAGAGTCAGAGGGCTCAATGACACTACATAGCCGAAGACAAGGACACAAGGAGAGATAAAGAATTGGGATAATGCAGGGGACTAAAACTAATTTTATTTCTACCTTTCTAGGTTCTTGCCTGGGACACTCCCACCCCCACCCCCTAGCCCCATAATAAAGAGGAGAAAAACAAATAGAAGTTTAATAACATGTATATCTCTTACATGGAGATATCCAGGAAAACCTGGTAACTCTCTGAAATGGTCCAAGTCGCCATCTTAAATATCATCTTTAGCTAGGGGCAAAAGATGTTGGGAAAGGAGCAGTGAGGCCAGTTATAGGAGGTTACCAGGAAAAGCACAGCAAATAAGGGTAAGGTTGTTTACACAAATTTAAGTCCTTGCTTCTCCACTGATAAGTTTCTTGAGATTTAGAATACTCTTTTCCTCCAGATGCAAGGAGGGAGACATGGTTACAAATGGAGATTTCCCTTATAAAAGTAAACATTTCTTTTAAAAGGGTAATTTCTAGTCAGTTTTCATAGCTTTTCTTCTATCTGCTCTTTCTTAAAAATTAATCCTTATGCCAAAGAGACATATTTTTGGGTGGTATATTCTGCTCCCCTTCAAACATTAAACAATTAATTTTTGGAACATTTTCCCAGTGAGTTGGAGGAGGAAAGGTACATTTTAGTGTTCAGATTCTAAACTTACAAAGTAATATATGGTTTATCCAAGCAAATAAACAAACAACAACAACAAAAATCATCCTTCCAGCCATTTTAATTCATTGACCAAGTTTTTAAGGACAATATGGCTTTCTTTTTATTCATTCATTTTTAAAAATATCTGTGCTAATAATCAGCAATTTTTCTAGTGAAGTAAGGGAGCATCAGTTTTCAAAGAATAAGTTTCTCCCTGTTGCATTTTATAAGATTGTCAAATAAGTTTACTTAAGTAACCCAGGATCACCACGTTTTGCCCCAGTCCAGGATTATGTTAGGGCCATATTTTATGGCTATATTTTATCATATGGGCTCATTTAATATTTAAATAACTGTTCTCCCTGGGATTCTGCCTAGATTTCACTGGGAAATTGGAGTGAAAGGGGTTCAATGGCAATCAACTTCTAGCCTTTTTGAAATTGCAGAGATTAATGAGAAAAAAACTAATTTGGTTGTGATTAGTAAAATAGGAGCTTCTAAAAAGGGAGCTCCTAATGACCTCTTTCCAACTAGAATCTAACAGTTTATACTGTGAAAACATAGTGATTTTGAGGGGAAATATTTATCTACACACAAATATTGGTTATGAATATGTTTCTAATGGTAAAAAGCAAAATGCAACTGAGTACATTTTAAAGATCTTATTGGTTTTATTTAAGCCTTCATGAATCAAGCAGCATCCCATCAAGCAGGTAGAAAGGAGTTGTGAGGAGCTGTGCAAATTGGAGGCTTCTATAGGCAGAAGGGAACATGAACAAGAAAGTTATATAGGCAAAATTGAATTGGTTATGGCAAGGTCAGTCAGGTAAATTACCTCCCCAGTGCTGATCAGGTGACTCCTGACTGACTGGTTTAAAATTCCATTTCTGGGAGAGCCAAAACTTTAATTAAGTTAGGGCTTGGTTTGATGACATGGAGCTTAGCCTAAGTGACTCCATTTTGGACCCATTGTCTGGCTTTTAACATTAACATAACTGGAAGGAGTTGGCATTTGCCTCTTTACTTCTAAGACAAGTTCACATTCAGCTTCAACTGATTATTTTTTCAACAATATTTTTTGTTTTCTTTTATGGTCTGCCAGTACTTTTTTGAAGCCCAGTCAGATAGAATAACAGTCAACATAATTGAGACTAAAAGGGGGCCAAATATCTCTCCAGAAGCAAGACAACTTCAAAGATATGCATTACAAAGCACTACTGTGACTCAAATAATCACTTGTTTTTAAGGGGGGTTTGCTAATGTAGAGTTGGTTTCTTATCTTCCCAGCCCCTAGTGAGCCTTTACTGTGCAAATTCGCTGATGGAGGACAGAAGAAGCGTCAGAATCAAAGCAAATACACGCAGAATGGAAGGCCCTGGCCCAGGGAAGGAGAGGTGAGTACTGACTGACTTCCCTGAAAATGCAGTAAGACAGACATTTGGGGCCCTAATGAAATCAGGTCCCGTAGAAAACCAAAATGTCTTCAAAGGGGGCAAATGAGTAGGCCTATATTAATGTGTTCAGGATAAAATTACCTGAGGAGGAATGCAGGAATTCAAAATTGACCTCAGTTCTGTACTACAGTAAGCCATCTGTCTTTAACCAAACCTTGACCCGATATACACTCACCAAAAGACTTATCCACAAAGAGTTGATCCATGATTATATAGTAGCTAAAAGAGATTTTCAATAAACTGAATAATGAGAATTGAATGTTTATGTGTTTTGCAAAACCCAAAAATTTCTATTTATTTTATTCTACTTTTGGGATACTCTACTTGCACGTATATGCGTATTTATACATTTGCCCCTATGTTCATAAGTGTGTTGATATGTATTTTATGGAAGTATTTTTCAATATAAAATATGAAAATGTCATATTTTATATTGAAAGAAAATTTTATATTGAAAGAACAGTTGATATACACAAGGTTTTGTTTTTCACAACAAAAAGAAAGGCATTTAGCAGTTAATGATCCACTTTCCCTCTTACCACAAAACAGAAAAGCAAGCATATGTATCCAGTGACACTTGGGAACGAATTCCTTTCTGTTATTTTTGTTGTAAGAAGACAAAGAAAAGGTATCGGGACTTCTAAGAAGTTTTTTATTCTCTGTGAAATGGAATGGCATTGTTTGAATGACTTGAATAAATGCTATTTTGTACAAAGGCCATAATTTCAACAGAAGAGCTTCATTTTGTATTTCTATTCAAAGCACTCACTTCATCTATTTCTCATTTAGGAGACAACCCACTTGATGCGGCATTTTACACTTTCAGTACTGAGACTGAAGGAAAAGAGAGTGGGGTTTTCCTCAGTAAAACATTTAGCCATTTTTTATTCACTAAGACTGTCATCTGTTTTGAGTTTTTCCACACAGACCTCAAACCCCCTCTTAAAGTGTATAATTGTGTTCAACTATTGTATAACCTATAACTCATTATTTTAAGACATGAAAAAGAGAATCACCATTGCACACCTGAAACTAATGAAAAAGGAAAGAGTTTCAATATCCCAGCGTTAGAAAGGCAGGCTGTGTTATGTTCAAAAAAGGAAGAGGAAAGGGAATGACCCTTGTGTTTTTAGAGTTGGGTTAGTGATTTAGCTCCATTGCCCCCAGAAGACAGCTAATTTCTGATAGCATTCATCACGACATCCATCCCTTCCCAAACATCTGTAGCCTAGAAAGACTCATTTGATCTTTTAAAAATTTGACTCAAATGCCCACTAATGAGAAAGAATTCTGGATCATAGACCATAACCAATAAGCTTCGACAGTCACTCAGATGAGCTGGGATGACTGAAAGCTCTGTTCCCGTCTCCATAAGAACATGTATTATCACATGTTGATATTATCACATTGTGATATTACCACTATCACAAAATAGATGCCAGTTGAGCAAGACACCTCAAGATACACTGAGATGATACATTGAGATACATCTCTCAAGATCAAGCAAATAAACATAAAAGAAATATTAACTACGAGCTGCCACTTGGCTACCGTATACAAACCTAGGGCTTTGGGTTTAGATCTTGGTAAAGACCCTGCACACTACTGCCATGGAAGCATTGTGGGGTCACATTTAGCACTCAGAGCATCTTGTGATTTACATGTAGGTTTTAAGCATGTTTTCCTAATCTTTGTTTTCAAAACTTGCTTTTTAAGAGTTATACATTTTCTTGTTGAACTGTGAATATCAAAGGAGCTTCATAAATTTACCTGTGACTAATAAAAATGTATTCCAAGTGTGGAGACACATCCAGAGAAAAGAAATTAGGAAAAGAAATGGCATGTACTATAAATATGCTTATCAAATATTTTGGTTTTGAGATAAGCATATTAATGTTTACACCTTGATTGTGGTTTTCGGTGTAGGCACTCCAAGGATGTTGGATAACTTTGTGTGCCCATCACTACATATGTATTATATATATGTATATATGTTTGCTTCTATTTCTGCTTGCATTATACTTGATAAATTATATTAGCATGGTTGACAAAGTATAAAATAATTCAGCTTATTCCTATGTAAGCAATATTTAATGAACTTTATATACCAGGAAATTCTAATTACTGTATTTCATCGTTTCCAAGACCCCTGGTTTTCCACATTTTAACACTTCTAAAATTGTTTCTACTCTTGTAATCAATGGCATTATGGGAAGGCAATTTACATTTGCTCTTGTTAGTCATCTGTAGCACTATGTATATTCTCTACTGAGTCTGTGACCACTCTGCATGAATTGAAACGCTAATCTAAGCAAGGACTATGGGTCAGATTCTTAGAAGAGATTTTCTTTGTGCCCTTATTTCATCCAGTATTAAGATTGAGACATGAATCTTCTCTTGAAGTTCATTCTTCTTTTTTTCTTTCTTTCTTTTCTTTTCTTTTTCTTTTTCTTTTCTTTTCTTTTTTTTTTTTTTTGTAGCCCTTTGTCATACCAACTTTATGAGGACATCATTTGGGGTGTTTTTCTTTGCTTGTTTTTTGTTTTAGTTATTGTTGTTTTTGTTGTTTTTATATAAGATAATGGTAAACCTTTCATTGTTACTCTAGGTAAAATGAAAGATGATAATTTCAATTCCGATGCTTCAGAATTTGGGATAATAGGACAGATTGAGGCCCATGTTTTCTCTGCCTCTCTTGAAAGTCAGGTAAAAAAAATTGGTAGTGTGAAAAGGATTTCTCCTAAAATGTTTAAACATCTTAGAAGTATGTAAAGCATGACAATTGATAAGCTAATTAAAAATTTTAATGTAGTATGTAAAGCTGTTTTCTTCTAAGTGGCATTTTGGTAACAGTTCCTTTAGCATAGTGAAATTTACTTCTTTATAAAAAAAATCTAGTAATGAAAACTTTATACACAAAAATTAGTGTAAATTATCAAGGTTTGGAAATACAAATATATGCTGCTGGACATGTTTTTGCATAAGTGAAATACACAGGGATATTTTAAAGTTCTTAATTAATCTCTCAAGTGACAAGCAAAACTCTGAGCAGAACGATCAAGGATCGGAGCTATTAGGCCTCTCTTTCCCAGTGCTGTACAAATCTTATCAATTTATTTCTTAATGTAGCAACTCACAAACTCTATCGTCTTAATATCCCTTTATACTCTTAAAAATGATTGCTTATTAGTTCATTAAAAAAAGAATAAAACCAACCCATGTTAACAAAAATATTATATCTTTCAAAGACAATTTTTTTTGAGAAGAGTGACACTCTTTTACATTTTTGCAAATCACTTTACTGTTGGGTAAAAGATGACCAGATTTGCATATCTGTATCAGCATTCAACCTGTTACCATATTGTTTGATTTAATCATATGAAGAAAATCTAGCCTTATACAGACATGCCATTGAACAAGAGAGGACCTGTGGATCTCCTAAAAGGATCTCACGAACCCTCAGGTGTGTCCTTAGGCCACACTTTGAGAACCATTGTCCCAGAGAAGCTTGAGCCAGGGATAGGGCTCGTATTCACTTCCATATCCCAGAAGGGTCATGCTGTTTGTAAAAATAGTAATACGTATTTGTTTCATTTGGTAAATAACCACTGGCACTAGTCCATTAGTACAGGCCCTCCACCCTGTCCACTTTGATGCTTCCTCAGGACCTCTTATCATCTCACAAGAATGGGGTGCTAGCTGGCACTGAAGGAGCTCCCCAGGATCCTACTCCAGCATTTACATTCTGACTGGCCATCACTTACAACATAGTGGTGGTGAAACATTTTTAATGTCACCCCTAGCTTGGAAATGCTCTCACTTTATCATCAGTATGACTTTCATGACATTCATTAGCTAGAGATTTCATTACATCTGAAGGCATATTCTTTAATTCAGGCAAAATGGTTCCAAAAATTGATCTTGTTAGTTGTCCCTTGAATAATTGGACTGGAATCAGGAATGCTGCAGATCACTCCAAAAATATATATCAGGAGTCATGGGAATAAGACACAGCATAGAGGATATAGTCAATGGTATTGTAATAGGGTTGTGTGGTGACAGATGGGACCATATGTGTGGTGAGCACAAAATAATGTATAGAATTGTCAAATCACTACTTTGTACACCTGAGACTGTTTCAATATTATGTGTCATCTCTAGTTAAATAAAAAAATTAAGAAACAAACAGACAAATGAACAAACAAACAACCAATAGACATATTAGGAACATGAAGAAGAATTCCTGTTGCTTCTTCCTCTATTTCCAAAGAACACTTTTCCAATGATTACCCAAAAGCCAGCTAGTTTGTTTGTAATCTAATGCCCAAATAATAAGTACAGCATATCAAAACCATGCAGCTATGTTGTAAAGATGATTGGCTGAAATCAAAGACAATGCATACTTCTATTGCAATGATGAGTCACTCAAACCTCAAAATTACTTTATGTTGACATTTGTTGTGACTAGCTTCTGGTCTCCTTCAGAATTTTCAAATGTAAGTAAACATTAAGTGTAAAATCATGGAAGACGGTGCTATTTCACCAAATTGTCCTGTTGGGACATTATCCTTCGATATGCAAATATCATGAACAAACTACTTTTCACTGGCTTTGAAGCTTTCATCTAGTTTTCATAAGATCTTCACATGTCCTATAGTAACTGAGTCAGCAAATGCTATCAATAACAATTGCTTCAGGAATTGCATTTCCAAGAAATAACATTTTGGCTATCATCACAAATACAAGAGACCCAGCAATTGAACAAGAAGTGACCGCACAAAGTATTCAAATGTCTAGTGGAAAAAATGCCAAGATTTTTATTATGAAAACTAAAACAAATAAAATGGTGTTTATTGCTTTTATCTGATTTACAGTTCTCCACTAGAGTAGATTTCAAAGCAATGAGCAAGAACAAATAATCTCTCTCTATGTGGTCCTCT